GTTTTGACAAACCCAAATCTGGTCACACTAACCTGTATTCACCTGAGTCATGTCTTTTAATCTGACAGAAATTGACCGCATCACCGCACAAGAGCTGTATTTTTTATCTTCGCTTAGTTTATGCAAATGAGTCATGTGGTTTTAAGTTTTGTTTCTGTGAGAGTTGCGCAAAACTGAATTAAACACATTATAATGTCAAACGGGCTGATGTGGCTCTAGAGTCGTAAAGTTGAATTTATTTATGCAGATTAGTAGTGCAGATAGTAATAATAATCATGATCAATTTAATATAAAAACGTTAATGATTAATTGATAATCAATCGTTCATTATTCCGACGATCGATTAAGAAAATGTCATCAAATGCCCATCCTTAGTTGAGACCAGAGAGAGGCATTTTGGGTTTAAACCACTTGGATTTTCAGCATTGAAACTGGCAACACAAATTACTTTCATTCTGTTTTCTGATTGGATAGTTATCTTGAGAACCAAAAGTTCAAATTATAACATAAACGCTTGGCCATCATGTCCAATGTTTGAAATAAATCAGCGTTACAATTGTTATCAGTAAAAGTGATATTTGATTTGAACATGTTTACCTCGTATCACAGTTAGGTCACAAAGTTTAATTTATCTTACACACTGTCCCTTTAGAATCTGAATAACGTTATCAAAATAATGAGTACAATTATTAAGATGTTTAGTTTTTTCATTCTGGCCCACACCTCGTCCTCTAAGATAAACCTTTAAAAGTGCAGAGCTGACGATTCGTGCTGTTTAAAGTGTATCTAGAGGAACAGTGCAGAGGTGAGATGAGCTGATCACATCTCCAGGACAAAGCCGCGCTCTGCCGGTCCTGTGGCTCTATTAAACACCAACCTCCACCAAGACGTAGAAGGACACACAGGAAACATTCCACACCTGATAGTTTTATGCTAAGGTTATACAGAATATTGATCCTGTAGGCCACATAAAACACCTCAACTTGTCTTTTGGTTCATTGAAATATTTTATCAGAGGACACATATTGATGCTCAATTGAGTTTTGGGAGCTTTAACAATGTTATAATGCTGCTCCCTTCTCCAAAACATACCTGGAATTGTGTGGTTTGTTTCATTCATGTTTGTTTCATTAATCCATGAATCCAAAATCTTCTTCTCTGAGCCTCTAAATCAGGAGTCAGCAATTCTTTTTCCCAAATATTGTGGAAGGCTGGACCAAAATGCTTGACTCAGTTCTGCATAATATTAATTGTATTTCTTGATAAAAAGCAGTAAATATCATTGGCAAGAGTTTATGTTCTGACTAAGCAATGGAAAAAGTGAGGTTGTCTTTCAAAAAATGGCATTAAAATAACAACTCTAAAATAAAAGCAATGCAGCTTTAGTCCGTGCATGAGGTCAAATGATAAAATATGTTTTTATCCAATTCTAAATGATCTTAAAAGGGCTGGTCAGAGTAAACACAAAGAACCGTATGCTGCCTGGGAGCTGGACAATGCCCAGGTCTGATATAAAATGCTCTGCTCCCATTTTGCCTTGACTGGCCCAGTAAAACAGTCCATAAAACATCACTGGACTAGTTCTGCAGGTGAATTGTGTTCACTCAGCCTTAGGGATGTGGAACAGGTGTCAGACCCTCAACCAGAAATGTTACACAGTGCACCTTTAACCATCTGTGTGTGTATGTGTGTGTGTGTGTGCGCGTGTGTGTGTCCTCTCAGAGCTGTCTCATGTCTCTGTGCTTCACGTTGTGTTTAGTCACTTCAGAACAGAAACACACACACACACACACACACAATCTCACACATAGACACACACGCACACAGAAACTCCCATATACGCACACACCCCATCACACACACACACACACAATCTCATACATAGACACGCACGCACACGCCATCTCACACACAGACACACACACATAATCACACAATCACACACACAATCTCACACACAGACACACACACATAATCACACAATCACACACACAATCTCACACAAGGAAAATCATTAACTATTAGCTCCACTCTCTCTCTCTCACTCCCTCCATTAACTCTGTCCCTCCAGCTCCTCTCCTCTCCTCCCTCACCCCTCTCTCTCTCTCTCTCTCTCTCTCTCTCTCTCTCTTTTTCATTTCTGTCTCATTCGCGTCGCTCTCCCTCTAACTCTTTCTCTCTCTCTGTTTCTCTCTCTGTCTCTGTCTCTTCTCTTTCCCTCCCTCTCTCTCTTCTCTCTTTCTCTCTGTTTCATTTATCTCTCTCTCTCTCTCTTCCTCCCACTAACTCTTTCTCTCTCTCTTTGTGTGTGCGTTTGTGCATCCCTGTGTGTGTGTGTGTGTGTGAAACTCCATCCCACTGGGAAGTAGGTGAGTTCTCCTGGGACGTCCAGTGCTGAAGTGTCGTCTGAAGTGTCGTGAGCAGAGTCATGTGTGTTAGTGTGTGTCGTGTGTGTTAGTGTGTGTCGTGTGTGTTAGTGTGTGTCTCTTTCACATTCCACACAGCCCTAAGCAATATACTCTTGTGTCCTTGAGCAAAACACTTTTCCCCCATTGCCTCTGCTTGTTATGTACATTAGTGAATGAGTCAGTGAGTGTGGAGCATTGGTTCCCAGAGACAGAGGAATGTCTATTGACTTGGGTCGTGAAGGTTTGTGACTTTTAAAATACAGATATAAGTTTGGGACACACTGGTACAGAGCATCCGGCTGATAGAAATAAACCTGCTGAGTGTAATCGTGCCGTGTTTTCAAGTGGAACTAAACTCTAAATGCACTTTTTTTCCTCCTTAACTGTATAAATGGAGCAGCAGAATGCTCAGGTCAGTTTTGGTAACTTTAGTGCAGACTGGGTTCATTAGCATAGTCTGATTCATCAGCCGGTTTCACTTTGTGGAAACCGTCTGACCTCGAGTACTTTTAGACGAGTACTTTTTTATTTAACTAATTGCTGCTATTTGGTAGTGACGTATGTAATGCTTCAAATCCTGTAGGAAGAAGAACAATAACGTCTTTCCTCTTGATAAAATTCACCAAACATTCTCTTTGTTCTGGTGTGGTACAGGATTTTGACCCCACGGTGAGGTGACCCCAAGGTCAACATACCATATAGTATTTTGACCCCGGGGTCAGAATCCTATGGTATGTTGAACCCCCTATGAAAATCTATATTTTATTAATAAAAGAACTTGAATTCTATCGAAAAACTTTGAATATTAATACTACATCTGCAAATTAAAACATACTGACATATTTAAAAGTGTTTTTTGAAGAACTCAGACACATTTTTTATGTTGATTATAACTTTTGAATGTTAAAAATTACTTAGTCGTTTAAACATATTTGACTGAAAATGAAATAAGTAGTTACTAATTAGTTAGTTAATCAAAGTGATGTATAATGATTTGGAGTCTTGTTAAAAATAGACAGAACTGATCAATTGAGTAGTTAAATAGGGGAAACCTATGACTATAGTAATCTGACCCCCCAATATATTTATTATAGTTATGATGATGTAAAGTAAGAAGTAATGTTAATTGAATATTGACAATGATCAATTATATATATAAAAATTAAAAATCCTATGAGTATAGTAATCTGACCCCCCAATATGTTTATTATAACACAACATGACTAAATTGAAAGTCATTATTCTTACAAACCATTGCCTAAACTGACTTTATGATTAAGGATTATCTGAACATAGCAAACTAAAACCCATAACAGTGTAAAATACAACATAAAAAGTGACAAGATTGTTATGTACTTGCAATTACGTTACATTTACACAAAATACCAAGTCGTTCTCCATCAAAACATTCCTTAAAACACAAAGAAAGTGAAAGATAGTCAAAGTAAATGACATGAGAAATAATGATCAGATGAGTAGCTACTAAAGAAAAAAGTAAGGGGAGTAAAAATCCTATAGGGGGTCACTTTACTATAGAGGTATATCACCCCGGGGTCAAAATACTATCTCACACCGGCTTTAAATCCTCGATCTCGGGAATCGTTGCCAACACAGAATGTCTGTCTTCGTCTTTGTCTCCATCTCGACGCTTTGTTTACTGTTGTGCTGTTCCACAAAAGGGACCCAAACAGACACGATGAGTTTGACGTCATGGTTTCACAGCTCGGTCTACAACGTCCGGGGATCTTGCAAATCGTCTAGTGTGTTCTGACCTAGTCGCTGGAGAGAAATGGAATTGAGCAGAGGACTAACATTTGCTGCTTTCTGGTTAAAAATGCCTGAATCTCAAGTTCATGCTGCCTTCAGTGGCCTCTGCACTGCACATTTCTCTGATCTAGATCAAGATTTTAAAACTTATATCAGGTTATTCATCTTGTTTGATTTATTATTTACTTACTAGTTCAGAGATGCTTCATTCTAGTCTAGAGGTATTTTATTTTAAGAGAACTTGTCAAGTAAAATGATCTAATTTCACTACTTTTGAGTCATTTTCTGATAGATTTAAATGTTTATATCTTACATTTTGGCCAAGCTTTTTTCAGTGTATGATTTTGAGTAGTAGGTGACATCACACAGGACTGCCCTGGTTACGGACAGGTGTTTCTGATACAAACACCTGTCTGAAGGGGCGGGGCTTGAAGTGTGGACACCTGTTAGACCAATCACACTGCTTTACGGGGTTTTTGCATTTATTAATGTGAGTTTTTGTGCTCTTACTGAAGACTGCTCGTGTTTCCTGTTTAAACTGGGCCCATGTGACTTTATTTTCTGATCACGTTTGTGTAATAGAGAGTCAGTCTTTGTCCCTGCCACTGTGAAATCTACGAGCCACAATTTTTGAGCCACAATCCAGAGACTTGAGGGTTTGTCACACAGTCTGGTGAAGATCAAACCTGTGTGGAGTATTTCAGATGATAGAGGAGAGATTTTATCAACAGTGAGGCTCTGTGGAGTTTTGCAGAATCGTTCATCATGGACTCTGTGCTCGTGTCCTCACCCTGTCTCTGTCTCTCTCTCTGTCTGTGTCTGCAGGGACGTTACCCTCCGGAGAGCACACTTTCCCATTCCAGTTCGTCATTCCAGGTGAGCGTAGAGCCCGATCTGTCTCTCTCTCTCTATCTCTCTCTGTCTCTTTGTCTCTGTCTTTCTCTCATTCTCTGTCTTTCCTGCGCTCTTTTTCTGTCTCTTTTTTGCCTCTGTCTCTCTCTCTCTCTCTGTGTGTCTCTCTGCTTCTGTGTCTCTCTTTAGCTGACTGCTCTCTGTCTTCTCTCTCTCTCTCTCTCTCTGCCTCTACTTGTCTCTCTCCCTCGCTGCCTCTGTCCTCTCTCTCTTATCTCTCTGACCTTCTGTTTCTATCTCTCTGCCTCTGTCTCTTTGCCTTTGTGTCTCTCTGCCTCTGTGTCTTTGTCTGTCTCTCTCTCTCTGCCTCTGTCTCTCTGTCTTTGTCTCTCTCTCTCTCTCTCTGTCTCTGTCTCTCTGCCCGTGTCTCTCTCTCTCTCTGCCTCTGTCTCTCTGCCTCTGTGTCTTTGTCTCTCTCTGTCTCTGCCTCTGTCTCTCTGCCTCTGTGTCTTTGTCTCTCTCTGTCTCTGCCTCTGTCTCTCTGCCTCTGTGTCTTTGTCTCTCTCTGTCTCTGCCTCTGTCTCTCTGCCCGTGTCTCTCTCTCTCTCTCTCTCTCTGCCTCTGTCTCTCTCCCTGTGTCTCTCTCTCTCTCTCTCCCTGCCTCTGTCTCTCTCTCTCTCTGCCTCTGTCTCTCTGTCTTTGTCTCTCTCTCTCTCTCTCTCTCTCTCTGCCTCTGTCTCTCTGCCTCTGTCTCTCTGCCTCTGTCTCTCTGTCTCTCTGTCTCTCCTCTCTCTCTCTGCCTCTGTCTCTCTGCCCGTGTCTCTCTCTCTCTCTCTGCCTCTGTCTCTCTGCCTCTGTGTCTTTGTCTCTCTCTGTCTCTGCCTCTGTCTCTCTCTCTCTCTCTCTCTCTCTGCCTCTGTCTCTCTGCCCGTGTCTCTCTCTCTCTCTCTGTCTCTCTGCCTCTGTGTCTTTCTCTCTCTCTCTCTCTGCCTCTGTCTCTCTGTGTCTCTGTCTCTCTGCCTCTGTCTCTCTGCCTCTGTCTCTCTGTCTCTCTCCCTGTGTCCCTCTGCCTCTGTGTCTCGCTGCCTCTATGTCTCTGTCTCTCTGCCTCTGTCTCTCTCTGTCTCTCTGCCTCTGTCTCTCTGTCTTTGTCTCTTCTCTCTCTCTGCCTCTGTCTCTCTGTGTCTCTCTGTCTCTCTGTCTCTCTGCCTCTGTCTCTCTGTCTCTCTCCTCTGTCTCTCTGTCTCTCTGTCTCTCTCTGCCTCTATGTTTCTGCCTCTGTGTCTCTGTCTCTCTGCCTCTGTGTCTCTGTCTCTCTCTGTCTCTCTCTGTGTCTCTGTCTCTCTGCCTCTGTCTCTCTGCCTTTTTGTCTCTCTGTCTCTCTCATGACTGGCATGTCGTCTACACTCTTACATTTTTAAAAGAGAATTACAAACACCTCTGAGTCTGTGTCGGCAGAGTCTTCACGTGCAGAGAGAGGACGCCTGTTATCAGTGAAAGCTTCATTTAATTTGAACATGTCTCTGGGGACACAGTCAGTCCCCGTCCACCAGAAAAATGACAGAGTGCAGCATTAAAAATCAAACCACCGTCTTCTCCAGCGCACGGATGTCTTTTCTCCTCTGCTTTTGTCTCCCAGCCTTCGCGATTTATGACGTGTTGTTGCTTTTTCGTGTCTCCCGATACGAGCGTGAGGTGCTCAGGCAGTGGGTGCAGAGCGGGCGCCCGAGGGTGCCAGGTGCCAGGTGCCGGCGTACAGGGTGCTGGTGGTGGGTGGCACTCACAGGGGGCAGGTTATTTTTAGCCCGGTGTAATGAGTGTATGCCCCTGCCCACCTCTCCTCTGGCTGTTAGGATACACTCAAGACAGAAACACAAGGAGACACTGCCCCCTACTGGCCACTGATCCTCTTGTCCATGGGCCATTTGTTCTTTTGAATTTCAGTTCAGAACGAAAAACAGTAAAATGAAAAATTGTTTGTTATTTCATTTTTTCGTTTTTGTGTCAAACAAAAACAAAAACAGATTTTGACCTTTATTTCCAATATTTAATTTAATGTTTCTTTCAAATAACACCAATTTAAAAAAAACAGTCTCTGTGCCGATTTTAAATTTGGTATTTTATTCTCCCTGGTTTATTTGTCCTGGAAGTTTTGCTGCTCAGCATTGTGTGTGAATTCAGAGTCAACAGAACAAAGGAGAGTTTATCGCTGTTTCCTGTTTCTCGTCGTGGAGTACAGCAGTTACTTTGTAAGATGTGAAAATAAACGCATCAGTATAAAAGAAGAGCTCATGTGTGTGAACAAAATTACAGTGATTTTTCAGGTAAGTCCTTCTAGCAGCAGAACTTCTGGGGCAAATAAACTAGAAAAAATAAAATATCAAAACTGAAACAAGCACAATAACTGTTTTTTGATTGGTGAAATAAACTTGGAAATAGAGGTTGAAATCTGTTTTATTTTTGTTTGACACGAAAACGGAATAATGAAATAATAAACTGTTTTCCCATTTGATTGTTTTTTGTTCTTAATTGGAATTGTAAAAAACAAATGGTTCATGGACTGGCTTGAAATAAGAATAGATCATTATAAAACAGATTTGCTTTTTGCAAAGTGACTTCTGTTTGGGAATGAACAGTTCTACCTGTAAACAGAACAGAAATAAAACATTACATATGAAATCTTGATCTGTTTCTATACATTCTGTGAAAAGTTGCCAGTTTCAATGCTGAAATCCAGTGTGTTTAAACCTAAAATGCCTCTCTGATCTGAATGGTCTCTACCTAAACCCCAGCACCTGCTCCAATCCTGAGTCAGTGCTAGTGCAGCCTCTGCAGCTCAGGGAGGGAATTCTGGAGGTTCTGAGCTTCACATGAGGCCTGAACATAAACTGAGAATGAGACAAACTTGGATGTGTCTTTATCTGCAGGTTAAGGCTCTGGAGACACAGGCGCAGTAATGATATAGAAATGTTTTATTTTAAACAGTAGGCCAAGTGCAGGCCAAATACAGTTCCTTTAAGAATTTATGTTATAATTTGACATTTTAGTTCAGAAAGCAGAAGGAGCCTCACACGAGTCTGTCATTCGGGTTGTCAGTTTTAATGCTGAAATCTGTATATGAAAAATACTAGGAGTGGCCAAAAATATCGGAATATCGATATATCGTATCGTTTAATGTGATGATACAGTATCGATATCGTGGCCTACTGTATCGATATATCCCCAAGAGTATTTTTAGGTGTGTTTTACAAAATTATTTTGTTACAGCTACAGTTTTGTTGTTTGTGGAGTGAAAGGAAACTCATTTATGCACATTTAACACATTTGACATTTTCACTGTTTTGAGGATTAAAATGTTTGTGTTTCATATGAACTTTGCACAAGAAGTGGTTTAACAAACACTTTTAGTATCACAGCCATGATTTAGCCTTTGCTTTTTATTGAACTGTATCGAATCGATTTGAAATGTATCATATTGAATCGAAAGTGCACTGTATGGAGATATGTATCGTATCATGGCCTGTGTATTGAGGTATGTATCGTATCGGCAACTTCTTAATGATACCCAGCTCTAAAAAATACATATACTTGGTTCTGAATTCCTTTTTTGAACATTTTAAATTCATAAAATCAGACATACATACCATAAAAATGTAAATACATCTATAAAAACAATTTCCCTAACACAGGGATCTCCAACCTCCTTCCAAGTAGCTCGCAAAGAGATTTCTGAATTATACATCTTGGGCTAAATAAGAGAAATCTGATGAATTAAATGCCTTTTACCATTGTACATGTGTCATTTTGTTGCTTAACTTTAAACACTAACAAATGGGTAATTGTTTATGTTCTATAGGCATCAAACTCAAAGGCTCACCTTGGCTCTTATAAATATATACTCAATTTCAATTTCAATTTGTGACCACTAAAACAAGTAGCTCTCTGACATTTTCATTTTGTAAAAGTGGCTCCCCAGAGGAACAAGGTTACAGACCTCTGTACTAACACAACTTTAACCTCATTACTTTTTTTTAAAAGTAACTGTAACATTAAATCATTTTCCTCAAGTGTAGTGTTTGAACAACACTTAGACACTTCTGTACTTTTTTTTTAGCCCTTACTAAAAGCAGCCTGTGTCCCTGGTGTATTGTGGTGCACGCTCGGGTTGTTCACAGTGGTTCTTGTTGTTGCAGAAGTTCACAGGCGTGTGGAGAGCCTGTGAGCTCATATGTTTATTATGTGACTCAGTGGAAAATGTCACGTCACTCAGGGTCAAGAGCTTCAGGTGCAGCTACAACAGGTGCAAAGTCTGCTCCTGTCGCCTCTCACCTGCCCTGTTCTGTGCCTGCTCAGGTTCTGAACTGTTGACTTTGTTTGGACAAGTGTTGAGATTCACATTACATTTGTCATAATTATGTTTTTAAAATGAACTCTTTAAGACATTTTAGAACCTCGTAAAAAACAGACCTGGAGTTGCGTTTTGTTTCATTCACACATGTTTGAGTAACACTTCATTATTAGTCTGTCTGCATCTCCAAAACGCAAAATGGGGGTATTGTGCAAAATTGATTTATTTTTGTTTTGTATAATGTTATAACGCTGTTCCTTCATCAAAAACATGCCTGAAGAGTAATGTTTGACTAATCTAGCGATCTCTCCAGGGCTGTATTCAAACCCTCCTTACGTGCAGAGAGCAAAAGGGGTGTGGAATTTTTTAATGTTAATTAATTTTTTGAGTATAGCATTTTCAAAACAAACAATCTATATATGTTATGTGTTACAGTTAGCATATATTTTGGACTGTAATTCGCACCATCCAAAAAATAAAGTCACACTGAAATATAAGAATGCACTTTTTTGGGGAAATTTATTTGATAAAATCAGAGACCAGGAACCAACATTTCCTGTTGAAAGTCAAGTTCTTGTAATAGAGGCAGGTGTATGGGCACCCATACACCTGCAATTAAATCCATCTTCCTGAAATATTGGCATATTTTGAAATCAGACCCAGAAATTTAAACCAT